GTAAAAAAGCTGCAGTAATTTGTGGGGAATGTTCCTTTGGTGGCTGGACAAAAACATGTTAGAATAAAACAAAAGCATGACAGCAGTTTTACTGGAATTTCAGATGGATGACATGATTTAAATTTTGTCTTCTGCTACTATTAGGACAGGCACCTCTTACAGATGTTTTAGGATTGCTGCTGATAAACTTGTAGTCCTTGGGAAGACTGAAGGGATTGCATTCTTTCAGCCCTGAATCACTGCAAGTGAGCTGGAAAGCTCTTTTCTGCTGCAGTCTGAAGAGATGTTTAAAGCTCCTAATTGAGAAGAGTATTCAATTAGTGAGGAAGCTACAAGGTGTTGAGCAGATTAACACCTATTATATGGACAGATTTTCTTTGTGTGAGTAAATCAAGGGACTGTATTTCCAGATGCTTACTGCAGAGATTAGTGCTCTAGCTCACACTTACGTGAAATAGTGGTTGGCTAGGGCCTTGTAAATAATCCACGCCTGGAATTGTGAGAATTGTGAAACGGCGGTGCTTTCCTGTATTTTCAAAGTGGAGTAGTTTCAGGCCTGGTTTTCAAGCTTATAGGGAACACCATGTTTTCCTGTATTTTAGAAAATGGTTGCTCAGTGGCAAGTATGTGTCATTGTCATACGAATCTTCAATGACTCATGCAAGTCTCCTGGGTTTAGAATGGTTTAATTTGGGGCTTGTTCCTGACCTTAGGGAAAATTTTTTTTTGGAATTAGCTGTTTTCCAAAGGGCCAATTAAACTTATTGGAGGCAGGGGAGGGGGAGGGAGGGAGAGAGAGATTAACCTACAGAAATAGTAATTTCCCACTAAAATCCATGTGGCCTGGAATCTTGGGCACAGTTGAGTTGGGCAGTCTGAATCTTGATCATGCAGAGACCTCTTTTCTGACAGGTTATATAGGCAAACTAATTAACTTTTAAAGCCTTGTTAAAATAGAAATAAGAAGAAGAATGCACATAAAGTGCTTATCACAGTGCCGGGAACATCATAAACTTTGAGTAAATTATTAATTTCCAGCTCAGGTGATGAGGGTAGAATGGTTGGTTTTAGCTGCCTTAATTTTCCTCCCTGGGAAAATGCTTTGTTTTGAGATGAGGCTTTGAATTGAAGGGATAAATTTCTTTGTGAGCTGCTCCAGGAATAGCATCTATAGAGAAACAGTGCACTTACTAACCTGACATATGGACACACTTAAAAGCTTTTCTTGTAGACCACTTTACATTTAATATTGTCTGTGGAACTGTCCTAGATTGCACAAAAAGAACTATAAGAAAATTTGGCAATCCAGGTGCTGGTGGCTCACATCTGTAATTCTAGCGAATCAGGAGACTGAGATCTGAGGACCACAGTTTGAAGCCAGGAGAGCCTGAGACTCTTATTTCTAATTAGCCACCAGAAAATCGAAAGTGGCATTGTGCCTCAAAGTGGTAGAGTGCTAGCCTTGAGCAAAAAAGTTCAAGAAATGCCCAGGGCCTGCATTTAAGCCCCAAGTCTGACCAAAAAAAAAAAAAGAGAAGAAAGAAAGATTTGCAAAATACTATATATTCATTTGCAAATGGTATAATCATCTTTAAAAACAATGGAAATTTAAATTGAGGAATTGAGATATAATTTAAATGGTGACTTAGGTATATACTACAATAATTGTAAATTTACTGTGAAATGATCACAATAGTTATATTTTATTTTTTATTTTTATTTTTGGTCAGTCGTAGGGCTTGAACTCTGGGCCTGGACGCTGTCCCTCAGCTTTTCAGGACAAGGCTAGCGCTCTACCACTTGAGCCACAGCGCCCACTTCCTGCTTTTTCTGCTTATGTGGTGCTGAGAAATTGGACCCAGGGCCTCATGCATGCAAGGCAAGCACTCTACCATTGAGGCACCTTCCCAGCCCAACAGTTAGATTTTAGAGCATTCCCATTGCTCACTTCAGTGGAACTACTTGTTTACAGCTTAATCCCATTTCTACCCCTAATCTAACCAATTATTTGTATTAGTCACTAATTGACTTAATATTTTACCTCTTCTGGACATTTCATTTAAGTGAACTCAGTTTATGGAGATTGTGAGTGGACTCTTTCACATAGCATAAGATTATCCAAGACCATCATGTTGTAGTATATCTCAGTATTTCATTCCTTTAAAAAAAATTAAGGGGTTGGGAAGGTGGTTCAGTGGTAGAGTGCTTGTCTCATATGCATGAGGCCCTGGGTTTAATTCCTCAGCACCACATAAACAGAAAAAATGGGAAGTGGTGCTGTGGCTCAAGTGGTAGAGCACTAGCCTTGAGCTGAAGAACTGAGGGACAGCATCCAGGCCCAGAGTTCAAGCCCCATGACTGACCCACCCCCCAAAAAAAGATTTTTTCTTTTTATTAAATTTTTAATTAATTAACTAAATAAATTTTGCCAGTCTTGGGGCTTGAACTCAGGGCCTGGGTGCTGTCCCTGAGCTTCTTTTGCTCAAGGTTAACACTCTACCACTTGAGCCACACCACCACTTTTGGTTTTTTTCTGTTTATGAGGTACTAAGGCATCAAACCCATGGCTTCATGCATGCTAGCAAGAACTGTACCACTAAGCCACATTCCCAGCCATTATTTATTTGTTTATTGTTAATGTGGTACCAGTAATTGAACCCAGGGCTTCATGCCTGCTAGGCAAGCACTCTACTACTAAGTCTAGGACTATTTAATTCCTTTTTTATTGCCAGAAAATGTCACTGTATGGATATATCTTTTTTTTCTTCTTCTTCTTCTGTTACTGGGCCTTGAACTCTGGACCAGGGCACTGTCCCTGGGTTCCTTTTGCTCAAGGCTAAAATTCTACCTCTTAAGCCACAGCACCACTTCTGGGCTTTTCTGTGATTAATTGGCCATAAGAATCTCACAGACTTTCCTGCCTGGGCTGGCTTTGAACTGCAAACCTCAGATCTTATCCTCCTGAGAAGCTAGGATTATAGGTGTGAGCCACCACACCCGACATATCATCTTTTATTTTCATAAGTTGGTAGACATTTATGGTTCATCTGCTTTGTTCTGTTGTGAATAAGTTGTTTGTGTATCAGGGAGAGTAGATGTTAGAAGAATTGCTTATTTGTTAAAGTAGGTTACAATCATCTTTAGATCATTTTAGGCTCTCAAGTGGCCATGGTACAGTTTCATAATGGTTTACATGTGGCATGTTCTCTGCCTTTAGTCCTGTAGTATATTAATATTAATAATCAAAGGATTGGGAATTAGTATCTATATTAATTTTTAATATAATGAATACTGTCTAGGTAGCTGTTGTGTAATGAAACGTGTTGTGTAGTGATATTTTACTCCAGATGATATGTAAGATAAATATGGAGTTGAACTGTTTTCAGATTCTATCATCTTGGTAGGGTAATGATCTGACTTTACTTCAATATCTGAATTCTGATGACTTTCTGGGTAGCCTGAAATACAGAGTGTTACCATATATGTTGACTTTTAAATGATTTTAAGATGTTGAGGGCTGGTTCAAATGGTAGAGTACATGCCTACCAACTACAAAACCGAGTTCAAAATTTAGTACCCTAAAACAAAACAGTGGCTCACACCTGTAATCCTAGGTCCTCAGGAGGCTGAGGTCTGAGGACTCCAGTTCACAGCCATCCTGAGCAGGAAAGAATGTCTGTGAGATTTTCATCTCCAATTAGCCACCAGAGCCGAGGAGAAGGGAGAGAGGGAGTATAAAATAGAGCTGTGGCTCAAATGGTAGAGCACTAGTCATAAGCAAAAAGCAATAGCTCTTGGGCTCTGAGCTCTATCCCCAGTTATCAGCACACAAAACAATGAAACAAAAACCAGCCAGGTGCTGGTGGCTCAGGCCTGTAATCCTAGCCACTAAGGAGGCTGAGATCTGAGGATCACAGTTCAAAGCCAGCCGAGGCAGAATGTCCCTGAGATTCTTATCTCCAATAAACCACCAGAAAACTAGAAGTGGCGCTGTGGCTCAAGTGGTAGAGCACTGGCCTTAAGCTGAAGAGCTGAGGAACAGCACCCAGGCCCAGAGTTGAAGCCCCATGACTGACAAAAACAAAAACAAACAAAAAAAACCTCTATCCTTTTTCTATTTTTTTTTCTTCTCTTGCAAATCCCAGACATCTGTTCTTTCTCCTCCTGCATACTTTATGTTCATCTCTTTTAAAATGTGGTTATTTCCTATGAAACCATACGCCATCATCACACCTAATAAAATTAACTTATTTATTTATTTGGTGGGGCTTGAACTCTGGGCCTGGACCCTGTCCCTGAGCTCTTCAGCTTAAGGCTAATGCTCTACCATTTGAGCCACAACACCACTTCTGGTTTTCTGGTATTTAATTGGAAATAAGTCTCACGAACTTTCCTGCCCAGACTAGCTTTGAACCACAATCCTCAGATCTCAGCCTCCTGAGTAGCTAGGATTACAGGTGTGAGTCACCGGCGCCCGGCAGATTTATCTTATAGCTAGTTCAGATTCATACTTTTCAGGTGAGTTTTAAATATCTTTAAAATTTTGTTTTTGTCAGTCATGGGGCTTGAACTCAGGGCCTGGGCATGATCCCTGAGTTCTTTTCCTCATGGTTAACTAGAGCTCTACCACTTTGAGCCACAGCTCCACTTCCAGTTTTCTGGTGGTTAATTGGAGATGAGTCTCATAGACTTTCTTTCCCTGGCTAGCTTTGAACCACAACCCTCAGATCTCAGCTTTCTGAGTAGCTATTCTTACAGGCATGAGCCACCTGTACCTGGCTTAAATGTCTTTTAAAATGATCTCTATCTTGCATCTAGGGAACCAAAGTTTACATGTGGCATTGTTTTATCTCTAGGGTTTTAACCCGATCCATTACCTTATTGGTTTTCTCAGGTGGGGGCTGTGGGTTGGTTGGGGATGTACTGTTGAAGGGATGTCCCACGCTGAGGATTTGTGTGTTTGCATCCTGTTAGTGTATTGACTAATTTCTGTGTCACAGGGGTTCTCAGCTGCTCATGGCTGGGGACAGCCCTCCACCCCTCACCACCATTATTTGGCCATGTCTGGACGAATATTTGGTTACCATAGTCCAGAGGGGAAAACCAGGGATGTTACCTATTAAGCATCTTCAAAAATACCACCTGTCCCCAACCACAGAGGTTTGTCTGTCTGCCTTTAAATGTCAATAGTGTTGAGGTTGGGAAATCCTATGGTTCTATAGCCTTGCATTTCTTGAAAAATGGAAGTTAACTCTGTGGTTAGAGTCAAGATGAGTGTTTTTGCTTGACATAGTTTGGTAATCTAGGAATGCCTATGTCTTTCCCTCTCTGCACTACATGGGATTGAACCGAGGATCTCCTGCATGCCAAACCCAGCCTTTTACTTCTGAATTCTGCACCCTAGTCACATGAACTTAAAAAGAAAATTTAATTTAAAATATTTACTTAAAAGAAATAAACCCTTCACACTGGGCACTATCCTGTTTTTTCCACAACCGCGTCATACTTTTTAGATACCTAAAGAACTCTACATTCTCTTTCCTTGTTAAACTTACTTAACACTTCTTCATGCTTGAGGCATGAAGATGGGGGGAAGTGGGTGCTTTTTGACCCTCTGGTTGGAACGGTTGAGCCTCTGTCCTGACCAAGTGAAGGTGCTGGTACACTCTTTGCTTTGGAGAAAATTGCATAGTTGGCTCAAGAGAGCAACATTTAACCTATAACTGTTAAGGCAGCTTGGGCTTTCTATGAAAGTGCAAAGGAGAGAAAGTCATTCCAGATGGGATGGCTTAAACAAGAGGTTGCTTTTCTTATGTGATGGGATTGGGGAAAAAGTCATTCTTGGCAAAAGAACCAAGTGAAGGTAGGGAATGCATTAGGGGTGTTCTGGGAACTTTTTTTTTTTTTAAGAAATGTCTTAAAGGCAGCTTTCTCCCCAGTCTCCGATAAATAACTGGAAGGAAAGGCAATGAATTTTTTTTTTCTGACAGTTGGTTCTTACAGGGGGCCAGGGATTCGTTTGCAAATGAAAGGCCTGCTGTTGGAATAGTTGAAATCACAATGGGCCCTGACTCTTTTCACATCAAAGTGTAAAAGAATCTCCAGGGGTGATAAATGGGAGCTGCTGGACTCATTACTTGTAAACAAAGCTGAGAGATGACCTCTAAATTTTTTTTAATTAAAAGAAAACAGGGTTTCCTAGTGGTGAGTGTGGGGTTGCTCGTCGGTTGAATTTTGACTCCTTACCCTAGGTTAGATCTTTGTTAAAGTTACCCGTGGGCCAGCCCAGATTCTTAAAAACTGGGGGAAACACTCCCTGTCCAGGATTGAGAATGAATGAGAGTGTGGAGTTTTGAGTTCACAGTAACAAACAGCAGGGTAGGCTTTCTGAGTTCAGCTATACTGGGAGCTTAGACCCCCCCTCCTCTACTTCCTTTTTTTTTCTAACATCAAGGGGGAAAACTTGTTATTTTTTGCAAGGTAGAGAAAGTTGAGGTGGTTGATTTTTAAAAATTAACCTTTTATTCTTATTTTTGGCTCATACTGGGGCTTGAACTCAGGGCAGAGGCATTGTCCTTGAGCTTTTTTTTTTGCTGGTCGTGGGGTCTGAACTCTGGGCCTGGGCGCTGTCCCTCAGCTCTTCAGCTCAAGGCAAGCACTCTACCACTTGAGCCACAGCGCCACTTCTGGCTTTTTTTCTTTTTTGCTTATGTGGTGCTGAGGAATTGAACCCAGGGCCTCATGCATGCAAGGCAAGCACTCTACCACTGAGCCACCTTCCCAGCCCTGTCCTTGAGCTTTTGAGTGCTTGAGCCACAGCTCTATTTCTGGCCTTTTGTGGTTAATTGGAGATAAGAGTCTTTCCTGACCTGGCTGGCTTTGAACCTTGATCCTCAGACCTCAGTCTCCAGACTGGCTAGGATTATGGATGTGAGCCACCAGCCTATTTTTGGGGGTGGGGGTGGGGTGGCGTGGGGTGTTGGTACTGGTACATAAACTCAGGGCCTTGCACTCTTGCTTGGCTTTTTCACATAAGCCTAGTGGCCTACCACTTGAATCACAGCTCTACTTCCAGCGTTGTGGTGGTTAATTGGAGATTAAAAAAAGTTTTGTGGACTTTACTGACTGGTTGCCTTTGAACTGCAATCCTCAGATCTGAGCCTCCTGAGTAGCTAAGATTATAGGCCTAAGCCACCAGTGCCCAGCTAGGATGTGATTTTAAGAAAAGTCTTTCCATTTTATAAAAGAAGTCCAATGACACTTGACCTTACAATTAAGTTTTCACTTAAAGTTTGAAGCAGAATTCTTTTTATTTCTGTAGTTTACAGGTCTTTTGCATACGATCAAAATCTTTATCCAAACTATAGTATTTGAACTATAGTTCAATAGTATAGTATTGAGAGCAGCTCTATTAAAATAGAATTAAGACTTGGGAACTGCTGTTCAGATTCAACTCTGATGATTCACCTTCTAGTACTTATATGCTTTTGTCCAAGTTTTAAATTCCTCATCCAGTTTGTCTCGCACTATTATTTCCCCGGTGGGCTCTGTTGTTGTCAGGATCTCTGTTTTGGTCAGATTTTAAACAACATCAGGTCAAAGCCTCCCCTCTTCAGAGCTCCATGTGGAACTAGTAAGGCTCTGCTTGCTTGCCCAAGAATTCTAACCTGTTTACTGCCACCACCACCTGTTCACTGATCACTATCCCAATGTTTGGTGATCATTTCTGAGTGTGACTTGAGAAAGGAGCAAGGTTCACAGCTAGAGGAGCAGGAAATCATTGTGTGTGTGTGTGTGTGCGTGTGTGTGTGTGCGTGTGTGTGTGTGTGTGTGTGTGTGTTGGAGGGCCTCCATCTGCTGTGGGCTCCTCTATAGGTGAGGGAGCTTTCCAGGCCTTCCAGCCCCGTTGATATTAGAATGAGGGGATGTGGGAGATCTCATACTGCTTAACCATGCTTTCCAGTACAACACTTCCACTACAGATGCCAGAATAGAGCTCCATTCCCTTTCTGCCATCCTCCTCTTTCTGTTCTTCCACTCTCCCTCTCTCCTGATCACCTTTCTCTCTCTATACCTCCCTCTCTTCTTCTTTCTCTCCCTCCCTTTCTCCAGTGCTGGGGATCAAATTTAGGACCTGGTTCCTTCCAGTGTGCAGGTAAATAAATATTCTACCACTATGCTACAGCCCCGAGCCTTAGAGCAGCTAGTATTTAATGGGCAGGGTAAGACTCAGCTAAGCTTTGATCAGTGGAAGATCCATCAAAAGCTAGCTGCTTTCTGTCTCAGCTTTCCAAGTCCTCAACCCCTGTATCACATTGTCTGGTAGAAGTTGGTGGCAGGGGAGTCCTTTCAGGTCTGATTTGACATTCTGAGCCTTGGGCCAGATTCTCTGGAGCTGACTCCAGGAGTTTCTTCCCTGATGCTTTAAGTGGGCATCAGTTAAAAGTAGAGAGCTTCCCTCAGCATGGCCACTGTAGAGAAATGTGCATGTTCTCCAGTGAAAGAACAACGCCCAGGAGATGAGGATGGGAGGTGCTGGAGGTGACTAATGAGCCATATGGCAGGAAACAGATTAAAAGATTAGTTAAATAAGAAAATAGTAAGGGATAGAGACAGTGCCCATCCTCGGTGAGAATCTGCCCAAGGCACGTCTGTGAGAGCTGTTTTCCAGCCCTGTGTGAGATGATTTGTGCTGTTTTGAGAGCACATTGTGGTCTGTGCAGCCTCTCACAGATGTCAGGTGGTGGCCCCTGTTGATAAATCAGCCTCTCAGAACCGTTAGCAGTTGTTGCAGTTCTCGTTTTAGATTATCTTTCAACATCCTGCTGATACACTTTCCTCCAGTGAGCACTTGATGGTGAGATAGGCAACCACGCTGAATTTAAGAATGGAAGAATGTCCAAAAAGGACAGTGCGTTTCTCAGTAGTCTATAAAGGACGACACCGGAGAGTTAAGACAAAGAGAATGGGGAGGCTATTTGGAATAGTTCTGGACATGACTGTGATTTTTCCCTTCTCATGTCCTTGACCTACAGTAGTGCCAATGGGACAATGTTACTTGTTCCCTGGAGCCTATCCCTTACTTTCCACCTGGAAAAGCAGTCTGACTAATTTCTTTGGGTGTATGTGTTTGCGGGAGTTGCTTCAAAACCAGTTAGACCTTGGTTTGAATTCTAGCCCCACTAGACCTGAAATGCTAGGGCTTACTCTCTTCAAACTCTTAATATGTTTGTGCAAGAATAATAATGAAGATTAAATATGTGTGAATGTGTGTATATATATATATACACACTTATATGTATATGCACACATGCACGTGTGCACGCGCACACACACACACACACAAACACACACACACACTCTCTCCAAATGGTGGGGCTAGTGTTTAATAAATATTACTTCCCTTTCCTGTTGGCCCACTTAAATTTTTTTTTATTTTATTTTATTTTTTTTAATTTTATTTTATTTTATTTGTGAACATACTGTACAGAGGGGTTACAATTGCATGGGCAGGATAATGCGTACATTTCTTACCAAGCATTGCAGCCTCCTCCTTTGTTTACCCTTCCCATCCCTTCCCAGCCTCCCCCCCCACCCCCATCCCAATCCTTCTCCTTCCCCCCTCCCCCCCACCCCCTTCCCCCCCACTTAAAATTTTTAAAAAAAATTATCTGTAAGTAGTTGTACAAAGAAGTTCCCATTCTACAAAACAGTATGTAAATACCAGGTGTCTGCTTAATAAATATTTCTTCCCCTTCCTGTTGGCCCACTTTTAATAATTTGTAATTTTAGAGCCTGGGGAATTTGAATTTTATGATATTCCTAAAATGACTGACTGAGGGTTTAAAAAGTTTGGGCTTAATGTAGAGGGTGGAAGCAGCTCTTAATGACAAGCTCCAATCAACTGATTATGAGTCAAATTTTCACTTGTTGTTATAGAACTTATAGGAAAAGTTGGGGTGATTTATTTATCTTATTACTTTTGGTGCTAGAGATTGAACTTAGAGTCATGAACATACCAGGCAAGCATTGCAACATTGAGCTGTAACTGGCCCTGAGTTTGGATGATTTAAAATGGGAGGTAGCTCAATGAATTAATTTTGCAGTGAAAATTTTATTTCACGTTTCCTGTTAAAAAGTTATTTTAAGATTTTTGACCT